AAAAAAAAAAATAACGCAACGGTGATTTTTGACATGCAAGTGCATTGAGATGATACTGTGCGCTCAACAAGCTTAATGTCTTGAGGCAATAAGAATGTAAGCACAACTCACGTGTTGAACTTAAATTCAACATGCAAACAATGAATCAGAGATTCTCAATGCGTTATTCAAAGTGTGACGTACATTCACATGCTGAGCCATGCAGTTACATATACAGCCTAGGCAACGTTTGCGAATCTTTTGCACTTTTCGGGCCCTTTTCCATATTACCGCACGATGTTCCCAATTCCAGTACCTCTTGCCGTCCAGAATTTGTCATAAAAAATTTGACGCACTCCACCCAACTATGGCAATATCCTCGATTACCCAACTGCATCTTTTTGCTGCTCCTAGGTTTCTCTTATAAATTCTTTTCTTTTCATCAAATTGACCGCACTCGCCTAATTTAGACCTCTCTCAGAGAAAATTTTTCATCCCACTGACTAAATCAACCGAGTGTTTCTCAGTCCAATTCATTGTATTTTTTTTTCCTTATCATTTGAATTATTTGACATTTATAATTATTGAAATGAAGAGAATATTCTATGATAATAAATTGGATAGTATGAAAATAAATCAGCTGCCTTATCAATATGGGGTTGGAATCCTTATAACCACACTTCTAGTGAAGTTACTTCATCGTTTCTACGGATTTTTCTTCGTCCAAGTGATTATATTGCCACAAAGACGATATTTATTATCTGTTATTTTGAACGAGAAATCGACCGATAAATGCACTTTGGACTGCGCGCCTAATCAGTATTAATGTCAGATGTTTGTGATGTTAGTGGGATGCTCGCACACGCGGAATGTCAAAACCACGGATTCTGCGCTTCAGCGCGCAAATACACATATATTAAAAAGCGAGAAATTCTCACGTTCAGGTCTCATTCCAATTTCCATGCATTTCTTCAAACGGCAGTGTTGACACTTGCGCCGCATGTACATATCGATATCGCATGATTCACCATATTTGCAATGATAAACTGCCTTCCGAGTCACCGATCGACGGAAGAAACCTAAGACACTCTAAATGCATCAGTGCTCTGCGTTTGATTTCTGTTATACCGTATTTCGCATTTCAGAAAAAGTTTGTTTATTTCATAGCATGGTTTTTAACATGCATTTTCTGTATCACACTGGAGAGACATGTAATTTGCGATAAAAAACACGCGCTTCTTTTTTTTATGCGTATTTGCGCATTTATGCAGATGCAAAAACGCATATTGTGACGGCCCTTGATGAGTGTTTGTGTCTGTCCCGATATTTTAGCTCAGCAACCAGTGAGTTCCTGGCCAGTACGACCTCGGGAAACTGTTATCATTTTTCGTGCACGTCTGAGCCTCATGAGCGGAAATATAAAAGTTTCGGCGAGAAAACTGCAAACTCAAGAACCAAATAAGCTGGAAAGCTGAGATTTTGGGAAACTGTTCTTTGTCCACAGCGATCTAAAGATTCTAAATTAAGTTTCCAGGTAGGCTTGTTCCTCACATACAGTCAAATGAAAATTTTGACAGACAAATTTCTAGCTCAGGAATCAGAATGGCTATAAAGCTCAAATTTTAAGAGAATGTGCTCTGTTTATGTCCGATGTAGAGATTTCCAATTAAGTTTCTAAATACGCCCGTGTCTCACGTATGAAAATGTTAAAATTCTGATGGAAAACTTTCCATTCGGTTGTTATCCGGATGAAAAATCACAGCTCTTTCGATTTTTACACCTCACATGCATTAGTATTAAAGTGTTAGTGTTACACCGAAAAAGCAAGAAAGCTTAACACAGCTACACTTATGACATCAAGGACACCAAATCGTGCAAAAATCAAAAAATATGCACTGCGTCGCTTGTATTAGCAGCGTAAAAAACTTTTTTTTTACGTGTGTGGATGACGTGAACATAGATTCATTAGCTCCATTTGCTAGATGTGGAGCGTAGGAGCCCGTAGCTTAACGTTTAATACATTACGAATGAAAGGATTCGAAGATACTGAAGGTAAGAAGCTGAATTTCCTCCCCACCCACATGTTTGCAAAAAAGGCTCTGCTCGTGATATTAGGCTATATTCAGCAAATAAAAATTTTAGAATAACCTTTGCATCCTTCGCAGGTCAGAGCATTGTAATGATAACCAGATGCTTTATCGCCACACACAAGACACAGTTCTTCAGCTACACTATGCATGATAATGCCACTCGAAGATGGCAGTGATGGAGGGCGAACTGCAGCCACGCAGTTGCTATCAGAGCGCTTTTTACTGCGATATTCACGTTCTCTACGACCTTGCTGGAAACATCGTCGATTTTGCTGCGAAACAAAACAGAAATCATAAAATTTCAATAAGTTAATGCGATATGATAGTATGAGGAGGCGCCTGAAGGCCGAAAGATTCCTTTGACTATCAATTTGCTCATAATTCATTTGACAACAAATTGATACTGGCATCTCAAATTTTTTTTGCTTGCTTCTTAAAAGAGAAAAACGATGCAGTAAAGTAATGGGAAAGAGAGTACCACCAACAGCTTTACAATGGCGCTGATTTCGTTGGCAACGATTAGGCATGAACATTTGCGTTTTACCTCATGTGCTTTCAGAGTGAAGGAACGAATTGGGAGTGGGGGTAGGCGGAAAAGTTTATTTTTTGTAAAAAAAAGAACAAAGAAGCAAGCAAGAATATTGAAAAGCCTGGTAGAAGAGCTCCTAGCATCTTTTCCAAATTCCACTAAATGCATCATACATGATAAACCCTTGGATTTTAAAGCAAAACTAAAAATAAATTTTCTAAAAAGCCACTCTGAAAAGTTTTGATGAGCACCTTTTCGAGAGATATTTTCGGGAAGATTCAAGGTCAGATAAAGTGCACCCCTCCAAAACGTTCCTGTATTTAGGTCATTCACTACTTTTACTATATTCGAGGCAACTCCGCCGACTATAAGCGACTGCATCTCGTTTATATCAAAACAAGTAGGCACAAATGAAACCTCCTAAAGGTCCTTCAGGCATCCTTTGTTGCTCCTGGCATGCAGTTGTTCCCGTTTTGGCTGCGCAGTAAAGACTCCGAGAATGTTGAATTTTGAGGGTTCGTTACATATTTTGCAGAAAGGCCACTTCATTCAGCCCTTTTTAATAACCGCAGCCACAACAAAAAATAATGAAATTTTAAAAAATTTTTCTGCATCTTAATCGCAAAATTGTTCATCACTTTGCGCCTGTCAAATAAGTACCTGCTGCGTTGTTGTTGGAACAGCAACTGGTGTTGAATGGACATTATTTGCACTGACAGGTGAAGGAAGCTGATGAAAATGCGGTGTTGCTGGTGCTGATGGAAGAAAGGGTGAATTCGCCCAAAAACCGTGATCAGTTTCGGGATCTGTAAATTCTTCTATAAATTACCAGCGTGCCAAAACCGCCCGGAAGCCGATGTGGAAAATTCATACTTAATGATGCCTTCAGATGAAGTACAACCGTACCAATTTGCTTCGATCTCGCATACCTCCAGTAAATCCTCACCGCCTGTTGCGCCAACTCTTTGGAAACCTCCGTCCCTCCTTCCCTCTCACGTGGTTGCATAATTTCTCGCGGGTACCGTTCACTAATTCGCGATGCCCAGTGCTCGCCTACAGCTAAATTATATATCCTACCAATTGTTACTAAAATGAATAAATTTAGTCACACCACACATCGTACCGCTGTGAGCCCCATTTCGTCGGTGACTCCTTTGGAAAAAATATATTTGCTACTGTGTCGGCAAGAGTAAAAACACGCTGGTGAGCCTTTAAAGCCAAATTGCGCTGCACTAATGAATATGCTGGCGGCTACATTTAACATGCACATAAAATAAGAAAAAGGATGGGGTTACAAATTAGACAATAGAGGGCTTTTAGAGCTTGCCACGGTCAATTACAAATTCGAAAACATTTTGAATTTTCTTCTCATCCTGCTTCTAGTTTTTCAAATTAGCTTGATTTCAATATTCAGCTTGCAGACTAAGACGTTTTAAAGTTAATTCCAGGTTACTGGATCGGCAACAGTGAACTGAACACTCGCGAATTTGTACATTACGAATTTCGCTCCCGAATTTCATTTAAAACTGAACTGGCATTTTAGCCATAAAATAAAAGTATTTGGATCAGAGATAAGAGAACGATTTTAATACAGTAAACGCAAATTAAGAAGCACTCTGTGTTTTACCTCTTAGCTGAAGATGGCAGTCAATTTGAGGCTTGTGGCCAAGCACAGAATAAAAATTTCAGCTTTCTAGCTTTCGTATTTCCGTGCCTGAATTATGCGAACTGACGGATAAGCGGCTACACGTACATACATGCAAATGTGATGTTTTTCTAAAGCGATTTATACTTTGCAGTGGCGGTTGATGGTGGGAAGGTTTTGGGAACTGAGGTGAATTTAAAAAAACTGAGCTTGAGAATGTAGGCGAATAAATTTCAAAAAACTAACCGGTACGATAATGAGTTAATGCCTGTGTACAAAGCAGTTGATGAGGCGCAACAGCTGCTGCTTGCTGCTGTTGATGTCGATGGTTGCTGTTGCTAGTACCAGAGAGGAGTTGAGATGGCTGCTGCGACTGTTCGGTCCCGAGCTGTGGTACTACTGAAGAAGTTGGTGCCGACGACACAACTGCAGCAGGCGAATTGTGAGAAAGTTGCTGTTGCTGCTGCTGTTGTTGTTGTTGCTGTTGTTGTTGTTGTTGCTGCTGCTGTGAGTCGGATGCCCAACTTGTAAGTGGTGGTAGTTCATGGTATGTCACTGTCGCCGTGGTCATCGAAATCCCAGAAATTCCGTGGCGAAATGGAAAGGAGGCACAAGACTTCGCGGTTTCAAAAACTGAGGTGGCCGGACAGCAATGAATGTCACCTACGGTGACGGCGAGGAAATTTCAGCGAAAATTGGGGGCAGCAGCAGCATTTCAAATGCTGCCGAGAGTAGTAGTAGCAGCAGCAACAGCAGGGCCTCCTTGCCATCTGTTGTCGCAATCCACGCGTGACCTTGGGTCGTGAGCTCATCTCTCCTCCCTCGACAGGTACCGACTAACTTTCAAGGTCTTTCAGGCACACAACACGTGCGCTCCTCACTAGTCTACCTGCGCACCCCTGTTGATTTGATATAAAATCACCACTGCGATCGGTACACACTTACATGAATGTAGACATGCCTTGTGAAGCGAAACGCATCATTGCCTTCTCAGTCTCCCGTTTTGCTAGGCTACCAGCCTCGAGGACTTGTTTTCAGCAGCTCCTCTGATACCAGTCGGACAATTCAATGCAGTAAAATTGGATGGGACAGGAACCAAATGACTAAAAGTTATTGCAAGTTTACAAGTACGATTCTGAAACGAGAGGAGGAACAATGTTTAGTACCAGTTTGAAAATGTACCCCAGCCCTGACATTCGCGCCGTGTTGAGCTAACGAATTTCGACCAAATCTAACCCAATCAATGTGCATCAAATGAAGATACACCAGCTACACTTGTACCAAATTCTCCTTCAGTTCTAATGATTCCCCAGTCCGCAAGGCGAAGCGCACTTTCGTACAGTTTTCGTTATGAGGTGCTTTATAGCACATGCCAAGAATACCAAGTCAGCTTGGGCTTGCGGTATGGTTATTCCTATTAAGATGCTCCCAAACGCCGAGCGCAACTATGCCGGCCATTCGCTCCCGAGCTGTATGACTCCAGCTAATAATCACCGCTTGTTCGATGTATGGGCCTTACCTCTTCGGCAATCGACCGAATGGCTGCTTACTTCTACGTAGGTACCATTCATTAATCCACATTGTCCACCTGTTGTCGACGAGGTGGACAGTAAGTCCTGCCCATCGGATTTTATTTTCTCGCGTAGTCGCAATGGTATCCTGGGTGTCGCTTATTTCCGTCAGATGAGCGGCGTGCGGGGATGAGCTGCATCGTTTGGTGTACTTCATGTATCGTCAACCGTGGTGTTCGCCGGTTTTTTTTTCTTAATTTAACCAGAGGAAAATGCTTGTTGAAGGATCGCTTCCAGGGAGAACCTTCGTGATCCTGTGCTTTAACCTTCATAAACAATGGAAAAGTTTGGTACGACTTTTTCGAAGCTATTAGGAATGCCGGATTTGGAAGTCTTTTATTTAATAAAAGAAAAACCCCTTATAAAGTCTTTTGCTTCTTAGTCTCTTATTTTCTTCACTCTTTTGTACGTAATATGCTGCTGGCCTTATCGACAACCAATGGACGGGGTAGCACCGGCAGAAAGTTAACGATCACTCGTAGGTTCAAAGAAGCCATGCACCTACATCGACAGACGGCGATACGCAGCTCAGGATCGAAGGGTTTGATGTAGCTGCGCCTAACATGTGAGAGTATATCAGTCTAACACAGGATACTCGTGCTGCAGCGCGGACGGTAGTGGTATTCTTGGTATAATTACATTTGTTTCATCGTCGCGTTTCTTCTCGCTACCGATGCAGTTGGCAGATTCTTTTTTTTTTTTTTATGCGTTTCGCATTTATGAAAATGCGAAAATACATGTGGCAACGATCCACGGTGTTTGTGTGTGTGTGTGTGT